CATCCTAAACAGGGATTTAATCTCAAATCCTACATGTGCTGTTCTGCTTAATTCTTACATGTGTTTGCCTTCTGAAATAATTGCTAGAAGCCAAATTTGAGATGTTCTAATATACAGTATCTTTTGAATAAAAGTAGCTTTATAAAAACTGGCTGAATAAAATTAGGGAGATTTACTTGTAGTATATTACCGTGGTGGCGAACCTATAGCACACGTGCCACAGGCAGCACACAGAGCCCTCTCTGTGGGCACGTGCGCTGTTGCCCCAGTCCTAGACCTTCAGTCCCGTCAATGAGATACCTGCATCAATGCCTACACAGGGTAAGATTGCCGCGCCCACCCCCACCTCCCCAAGCATTTTTTTACTAACCTGCCTTTCAGCTGCATTCCATTTCTCCGTTCGCTTCTCAGCCTTCGCTGCGTGTTTGTGGGACTATTGGTAAAAAAAAAAAGTTCTATCAGACTTTCTAACTTCTCGTGAGATCTCAAGAAGTTAGAAAGTCTGATGGAACTTTTTTTTTTCTACTGAAGTGAATGGAGAAACGGAATTCAGCTGAAAGGCAGATTAGTAAAAAAACGCTTGGGGGAGGCGAGGGCTTCTGGATGAGTGCTGGCGTGGCAACCTTACTCTGCATGGTGGCGGGAGGGTGGGGCACGTGCCCTTCCCATGCCAAGCCAGCCCCTGCAGCCCCGGGGTGGCCATGCTGGGCAGCAATGGGCAGAGTGTTGAGGTGAGGGCCGGCAGGCTGACCGAAACAGCAGGTGAAGCACTGGAGGCTCGGGGAGGGAGGGCGCTGAAGTGGGCAGTCAGGCCATTGGCAAGAGCAACGCGTCTGAACGGAAAGAGGCCTCGGAACAAGTGGGGCAGTGAAACAAGTGAAAGATCACGAAGTTGGAATTGATTGATTGATCTTTTTTTCCCAAAAAAACCCTTCGTTTCCTTGCACGTGATGGCAGCGGCAGATTGTGAAGGAGAAACGGCACAGGGCTGGAAGTCAGGTAAGGAAAGAAAGGCAATTTCTAGGGGGAGCGAGGATTTCTTTCCTTACCTGCCCCACTTGTTCCAAGGCCGCTTTCCGCTCAGACATTGCTCTTGCCCACTTCAGTGGCCTCCCTCCCCAAGCCTCTGGTGCTCCACCTGCTGCTTTGGTGGCTGTGTAGGCAGAGCTGCGAAGTTCTCTTCTCTGACAGATGCAGCTCTGCCTACAGAGCCATCAAAGCTGTAGCTGAATGGGCCCCACTTGTTATTTGTGTTTGTTTTCGCCTATCTTAATTTCAGTCGCCAGTATCTGGCTAAAAGTTGAGTTGACATCTTCAACATAACTATTTTTCTCTTCCAACATACAGAAAACAAACAGTTTGCTCAATATATATCTACTATAGATGCTGTAAATAACTGTTTTCTCCTTTGTATAATATACTTTGAATGGCTGTGGAAAGGAGTAGATGTGGATACTTTGATTGGGTTCACCAATCAAGGTATCTCTTTACTCTGCAAATTTACTTTGCCTTTCTTATTTTAATTCAAAAAGGAATGCTGATTGGTATATACCAGTGATGGCGAACCTTTTAGAGACCGCGTGCCCAAACTGCAACCCAAACCCACTTATGTATCGTCGGGTGCCGGGTGAGCGTGGCCCGTTGAGTGGGTGTGGCCCATTGGGTGGGCGTGGCCCATTGGGTGGGCGTGGCTGCGGTGGTAACGGCAGACTGGGTGGAACTAAAAAGTTCAATCAATCAATTCCAACTTTGCGAGATCTTTTTTTTTCCCTGCGAGAAGTTGAAATTGATTGATTGATTGAACCTTTTTTTTTTTTGCACACGGCGGTGAAGGCCTAAAGCGAAAAGCTTTTATAAAACCTAGCTGAAGGCCTAGGACTGGGGCGACAGTGTGCGTGCTCACAGAGAGGGCTCTGCGTGCCACCTGTGGCACGCATGCCACCACTGGTATATACTGTATAAAGGGCAGGTTTTCAAAAGACTTCTTTTTCTGTCTATATTACCAGTCATCTTTTCTTTCAGTGTTACAAACTACCACAGTTATCAGCAGAACCATAGCTGAAGTAAAACAAAATGCTGATGCTGATGCTTTGTTTCTGGCGTCAGCCAGAGGGAAGGGTGTATCAAAGCTTCAGTAGTTGAGAAAATGCTGGTGGATGAGATTGGAAAGTGAAAATCTACTTCAAAGCCATTGAATTACTTCTCCTCAGGTCACTAAGACTATTCAGCTGGCTCCAGAAAGCATGCTTGATTAAGAGAGCTTCTTGGAAATCTTAATATAATTTGCACTGAAATTAGATGGGTGAGGAATTTTTTTTTAAACAAAATAGTAAATGAAAGTTAGAACTTGATTAAGTTAGATTGATGGGCTGTCAGCTCATATCTCATATCTCTGCATATCTCATATCTCTAATAATAATAATAATAATAATAATAATAATAATAATAATAAAGTTGGAAGGGACCTTGGAGGTCATCGAGTCCAACCGCCTGCTCAGGCAGGAACCCTACACCATTTCAGACAAATGGCTGTCCAGTCTCTTCTTAAAAACTTCCAGTGTTGGAGCATTCACCGCTTCTGGAGGCAGGTTG